TGATAATGATGGTGATGATGATGATGGTGATGGAGGCGATGATGATGATGATGATGATGATGATGATGATGATGATGATGATGATGATGATGATGATGTTGGTGTTGTTGATGATGCTGATGACGTCGATTGTGAGATCGATTGTGACATCGATAGTGAGACCGAATGTGAGACCGAATGTGAGATCGATTGTGAGATCGATTGTGAGATCGATAGTGAGATCGATAGCGAGATCGATAGTGATATCGATAGTGAGATCGAATGTGAGATCGATTGTGAGATCGATAGCGAGATCGATTGAGTGAGACGTTGGTTCCCCCTCCCCCCTCACCTCCTTATCACCCGCAGGGTGGTCGTATAGGTACATACAGACGTATGTACACATACGTGCGCACACTTGCATCCACATATATATATATATATATATATATATATATACATACATCCATCCATCCATCCATCCATCCATCCATCCATCCATCCATCCATCCATACACACATACATACATACATACATACATACATACATACATAAATGCATCCATGCATACATGCATGCATACATACATACACACACTCACACATGCATACACATACATATATACATGCATGCATGCATGCATGCATACATACATACATACTTATATATACACATACATACTTACATACGTACGTACGCACCTACATACGTACACATATAAATATATGTGCACACAGACATGTATGCATGCAGGCATACATACAGACATGGGTACGTACATCCATACATATACATACACACAAACGAAACCTGTGCCGATCAGGCGGCGCCCCAGGAACGGGCCTAGGTTGTGGACCAGAGGCACCTCGTAGTTGTATATTAAGGTTACTTGGCAAGACTCTCAGAGGCCCTCCTGGGGCCTCTTAGGGGTCTCCTGGGGGCTTCCCGGGGGCCTCCTGGGGCCTCTTGAAGCCTCTTAGGGGCTTCTTGGGGCCTCTCGCGGGCGTCTTGGGCGCCTCTTAGGTCATCCTGGGGCTTCTTGGGGTTCTAGGGGGTCGTCTTTGGGCGGGGTAATCGGAATTTCAATTTGAATTCTCCTTATTTGACTCCTCTTGGGACTTTTGGGGTGCCCGTGTGGGCCGTCCTGGGAGCCTCTTGGACTGTCTTGGGAACCTCTGGGGCCCTCTTGGGGCCCAGTTAGGGGCCTCTTGGACCGTCTTGAAGCGGTCTTTGGGGTCTCTGAGGTCGTTAAGGACGGAACTGCTTGCCGAGCCTGTTGAGGCCAGCCAGGATTACCTCGGGGGGGCTGTCTGGGCGCAACCCGAAGGCTTACCAGGCGGCATAGCGGAACAAGAAACTGCAGAAACATGCATTTTCGAAGGTCCGCGCGGACCTCTGGAAGCTTGAGTTCATGCCGCAGTTTCTTCGATGCCCAACGGCCCACGATTCAAGAGGGGGATGAGGGGCAACGATAGAGGGGACTGGCATAGGGGGGATATATCAACCTGGAGTGGGCGATACATCACCGATAAATCGGCGATGTGTCCCGATAATGAACCCGCACCTTCCTGGACAGGTCGATGCATCCCCCCTATGCCTGACTATCCCCCCTATGGTTGCCCCTGAGGGGAGAAGAGCTGGCGTCTAAGCCAAAACTGGGCCCATGAAGGGTGTAGGTGTATCCGCCAAGGTGCCGCGAAACACGTATAGGAAGGCCCTCAGGTCCCGTGCGGTCCTTAATCCTGTCATCAAGATTGAATGTTTCAGTGTTCACTCTTAAAGGGCCCAGACTACAATTTCTTAAACATTCCGACGTTCCTGGCATGCCTCCCGCGGATTCTCGGCGCTTCCCGCATGACTGTCTCGGAGCCACGAGAGCCCCAAAACGGGCCAACAAGGACCCAAGACAGGCACGGTAGCCAGATTGGCCGAAGGCCGGTAGATCGCGGGTGCCCTCCGAGTATTGGCGGGGAGACGGTGGGGAGAAGAGGCGGGGACACGGGGAACGACTCAAGAGGGGGCAAGAGGGGAGAGGGGGAACGACTCGTGCAGGATAAGTTTCGTAGAGGCATCCCCCTAGATGGGATCCGAGTAGATGCGGTCGGAGGATCGCGCCGTATCGCCAATGCATCGGCAATTCATCGTCGACGTCGGCGAGGCATCAGCGCCATCGGCCATGCGGAACGACCCTTCGACCCCTGTCTACCTGGACTGCATTTAGGAGGCCTGGAGATCATCCTAAGCCACTGGGAGCCGGCGCCGAGAGCGGGACTCCAGGCGCGCTCGTGGAGACGAGCGGCCCCCCCGGAGGGGGCACAGGCAAATACAGTCATGGTGTTACCATTCGGCGGCGTGCGCGGGGAGAAGTGAGAGGGGCCAGAACTTCAGCAGGCGGTGGAGCTTCTTGGAAGCCCTCAGGCCTTCTGAAAAACCATCCGCCTTCGGAGAAGGCTTAGAACCGTTCTCGGAAGGCCAGAGGCCTTCCGAGCCTTCTGAGAAGGCCCGCCCCCTCTGACTTCCCCTCTATGCACGCCGCAGCCCATAGAGATTTTTGATTCTTCGGGTGGTGCTTGTTTCCCGAAGGGGGGAGGGGTTGGCGGGGTGGGGCATGTCGGAGTAAGGTTGCGCTGCAATCGCCATGCTATGCGCGCGGGCACCAGCATGTGTGGGGGAGGGGGGTAGCAGGCCCCCTCCCCCCCTACGCACGATCGCTATTGTTAGTTACACGGGGGGATGGATTTGGCCCGAATTGTGACCGTTACGCGCGAAAGGTCCATTACAACAGTATCATGAAGAACGCCAGATCAGCCGGGGGTCCCAAAAACGTGTGGTGACGGACCGCGCGGCGACGTCGAAATCACAAGAGGCCTTTCCGCGTGGCCCGTCACTGCACGGTCTTGAGACCTTGGAGGCCCTGGTCGCCCAGACGTCCTCCGAGAACGACCCGAGTCCCAAAACCGTGCGGTGACTCACCACGCGGTGCGGTCACCACGCCGTTTGGCGGCCCCGAATCACGACTCAAGGGCTTATCGAGGACAGGCGGGCCTCGGTCACGAATGGCCTCCCGAGACAGACTGAAGGAGCGGCCCGAACACCTGAGCCCCTCCTGAACCCAGAGCGTTCCAGAAACCTATGTCAACGTCTTTGACTGTACCGAGCCCGCTGCTCCCCCGACCTCTCCGGGAGCGCGCTCCAACCAATTCTTCGGGGCGCATCCTGCCGTGGCGTCGAGGAGCCGGGCAGAGAGAAAAGCTGGAGAAAGTCAAGACGAAGCCAGGACGAGGATAACTTCGGATGATAATATATCGAGAATCTCTCAGATTCAGCGGCTTCGGAGAATTTCTCGGGCGCCACGGCCTTCTCAGAGCGTTCTGGAACGCTCTGGAACGGATGTGTCGCTGTCCTAGCCCCGCCCGAAGAATGGGAGAGCAGGAAACAAAGGGAGTAACCAGGGGTGGAACAGCCAGCGCGAGCCGAAACGAGCCCGACGCAGCTGGGGTGTGGTCACCAGACCTGCAAGGAGCCAGACCGAAGACGGCCGGGGTCGGAGAACGTGCAGGAGAGCCCGCCCTGTAGAGCAAGGAACAACTGCATAAGCATTAACTTTCGATGCTCCGCGCGGATGTTCTGGATCTACGCTGGACCCTCTCCCTGGCGCGCGGAGCGAGCCTGGGGGTTTCAGCGCAGATCCAGGAAATCCGCGCGGACCCTCGAAAGTGTATCTTTATGCGGCGTATTTGTCTTTCGAAGAAGGGCCGGTGCGTGCCACTCTCCAGCCCCCTGCAGCGGCATCGGCCTCTCGGGCGTGAGTTGATGGGGGGCGGTACATGGGGGGGAGAAACGTGCACCTCTCGTGCCCCTATTTGGCGCCAGGACGCCACTGTACGGCCTCTGGAGGGCACAAAAGGTGCACATGTCTTTACCCTGCTGTTCCCGGCGCCGGACCCCGACGTCGTGCTCTTTTCATAATTATCGTCGACCCCCAGAGGTCTCGACCAGCTCCCCTTGACCAGTGTTTCATCCCGGGCAATTTTTTGACGGTCCCGAAGCCTGGTTGGGGCCTTCAGAGCCAGAACATACTTTTTTGTAAAAAAAACGGCCGCCATGTTTGTTTCATTACCCGGGGCGGTCTGGGATTATCGAACCCCCATTGCTGGACGCCCGGCCTCTCGTATCCCTCTGGCACCAGGCCCAGAGCGCAGGGCTCGAGGCGCGCGACCGCCTCCGCGGGAAAGCTGCGACACGCCCGCCCCTCTCTCGCGCGTCGACGCTGCATCGATTGTGCGCCGACTGGTGTCGGACGTGCGTCGATCTCGAACCGAGCTGCGCGGCCCCAGGGCGACCCACTCGCCACTCTCACGCGTCGAGGCTCCGTCGAACGTCCGCCGACTGAATTCGGACGCGGGTCGAGACCCCCCCCCTTACTTTTACGCACCCCAATGGCTCGACGCCCGACGGCCTCTCTTCCCCCGCTGGCCCCAGGCCCGAGGCGCGAGGCGCGGCGACCGTCGCGGCCACAGAAGCAGCCCGCTTGCCCCTCTTGCGCGTCGAGGCTGCGTCGATCGTCCGCCGACTTGGAAGTCGGAAGCGAGTCGAACTCGAGCCGAGATTCAACAGAACTGGAGTCAAGTTTCAGCGGCGAGCGAGTGGGAGGGGAGTGAGAACGAGCAGGCCTTCTCAGAAGGCGGCGGGGTTTCAAGGCGGCGGGGTTTCTCGAAGCCAACGCGATTTCTAAGCTTTGTCATGTGTCGTCGGGGAAGGCCTTAGGAAGCTTCTCAAAAGGCCAGGGGACTTCTGAGATGTCTGAGAAGGCCTTCTCATTTTCACTTCCCCCCATCGCCCGCCGCCGATGGAGTCAAGGTGGAATCGAGCAGAACTGGCAGGTGGGCCCCTGGAAGGCCCCCAAAACGATCATCCCACCAGAGCGTGGCCCGTGTGGCTGCCCGTCGACAGCGGCGCGGGCCCCGACACCGCCCAACACGGCCGGGAGGAGGAGGCACGGGAGCGGGCCCCCGGCAGCCCTGCTTCTTGCGGCTGGTACACGTAGCTCCTATCGCACGACTTCCACTCCAAGTACCTGGGGGGGGCGGGCCTCTCCTGCCCCCCTCCCCGTACCCCGCCACCTCGACCTCCCTCCTCACTCTCATTCCTCCTCCTCCTCATTTCCTCCTCCTTCTCCTCCTCGCTCCTCGCCTCGTCCTCCTCGGCCTCCTTCTCCTCCTCCTCCTCTCTCCTCCTCGCCCTCCTCATCCTCCTGCTCCTCCTCCTCCTCTTCATCCTCCTCCTCCGCATACACCTCCACCTGCCTTCCCCTCCTCCGCCCTCCTCCGTCCTCCTCCGTCCTCTCGCCCTCCTGGCCCTCCTCCCCCCTCTCCTACTCGTCGAAGCCTCCAGGCGCCACGGGAGGGGCACGAATGCACGACGGGTATTACTTCCCCCGATGCTCCTCGTGGATGGGCGCTCGTTGTGTGTATGCTGCTCCTCTCTCCCCTCTCCTGGGTGGCGGCCAGGGGGTCGGAGCTGGTTTTAGCAGACGAAAAACGGTGGCCGGGGTGGCTCTGCAAAGGAACGGGGGGGGGCTGCTCCGTCGGAAGGCCGGAAAGAATGAAGCGCCCAAATCCTTCAAAAGCATGTAGGAAATCAATAATGTTGGCCTCTTTAGGCCGTTTTTGGAAGGCATCCTGGGCCATCTTGGGTGCATCTTGAGCCGTCTGGGAACCCACATCCCCTCCCAAACAACAATTCAAAACATGCTCGTGGGGAAAAACACCTGACGCAAGCTCGGCTTCGCGTCCGTGTTGAGTTACAATCCGAATACTGCCTTGGACCACTTGATATTTTGGAACGTCGCGATTCTCACAAGACTGGGAGCTCTGAAAGCCCTGGTGACGACCTCAGCGGGGACCCTCGTGAACTTAGCTTCCTGAATTCCTCGCTGCTCACGAGCCCCCGGGAGTTTGAAGAGGCCGATCGGGCGCACGAATCTCAATTCAAAGCAATGCCACAAAGTCGGGTACGGGCTCGACCGCTGGCCCTGCGTAGAGCTCTGGTGTCCTCTCGGGAGGTACTGTGCCGTCGAGCCCAGCCGGAGTTTCAGCTTCAGGACGTCCACGCCCAACCCCCCCTCATTTCAGGTTCGGAAGTCGAGCTCTCTGAAACCGATGATCCGTACCCCGTGGATTCTCATGTCCCCGACGAAGCGTGGATTCGTTGCAAGGCTGAGGTGGTGTTCACCACAGCGTCGCAGTGTCCTCTTTTCTCTCCCCTCCTCGCTTCCATAGCCGTTGGGCTTAAATGATCCATAGCCCTTGAGCTCACTCTATGACAACTACATGCGCATTGCCGAAATCACCCTTCACGCGCATCATGAGACACGGGATCTCCCAGCTTCAAGGCAACTCTCGTCCATCACTCTGTTCTGCATCGTGCTGCCCGTGCCAGGGATGCAATTGCCAGCTGGTGGGCACGGCTAGACACATTCACACACACACACGCACTCCCAGGGTGGTACTGGCCTCAATGGCAAACGGTTGCCACGAAATATTGTTGTGACCATCTGAGGTTTGGTGGCAAGAGTTTCCTGAATATGCTCACGCAGGTTTGCGCGTCTGGGCATCGTGGAAACGATGGTAGAGGCTTTTCAATAATGTTCGGGTCAGCAAGAAGTATGGTATAGGCACTTTTTGCGCTCAGGAAGTAGCACAGCGCCAGAAGAGAACCAATGCCTCGTCAATGCCCGAACTCGGCCTTTCGAAAAAGACAACAATTGCTCTTGAACGGCTGCACAGGTCTTTCAAGGGTGAGCCCATCACGGAAGCCGATATTGCTGTCGATGGACAGTGTGCTGGTCCATCCTCGTGGTGCCACCAATGACAACTCCGACAAGTGAAGGCAGATCTGGTGTTCTGCGGCGGAATATGCGCAATAACTGCAATACTGTCTGCGGATGGTGAAGGAACGGGCGCAGGAGGAACCGTTGCCGCCAACCAAACGAGAGCATGTCCGAAGGGCAGCGCACTCCGTCCGAGCTGGGGCTGGCATGGGGGGCGACCGTCCCTCATCCCCAGAGGAACCGCTCCCAGAACAAATCCTCCCTGCATCCCTCCCCGCTCGCAGAAGCACGCAAATCGCGCAAACGCATACGCACGCACGAACGCACGCACGCGCACGCGCTCGCGCACGCACACGCACCGCACACGTACACGCACACGCGCACGCGCGCGCACACGCACACGCTCGCGTACGTACACACAATTTCACAGACGCCCGCCCGCACGCGCACGCACATCATTTCGCGGCCGGCTGGCCCACTTCAGCGAGGGCGTTCGCGCAGTGCCCTGTGCTGGTTGCCACCGGACGTGTGCCGATGGGGTGCAATCAACACGATGTGCTGGTGTTCCACAATCGCTACCAGACATAGGCACGAAAGGGAGGAGGAGGAGGCGAAGGGGAAGAAGAAGAGCGGAAGAGGAGGGAGGAGGAGGAGGGAGGAGGAGGAGGAGGAGGAGGAAGAACTCCCCATCCTCCCTTCTTCCCCGTCCTGCCTGTGGCAGTAGTGGTGATGACCGTGGGCCCCTCACAACATGGGGGCTTCGCGTGCACAGAAAAAGGGCACGACGGCCCGGCACGCCTGCAGCGCCGCGGGCGGCCCGCTTTTAGGGGCAGCACGCTGCGGCGGCGGATGGCAGCTGCAGCGCGATGCGACGCCAACGCCTACGAGGACGGCCGGGGGAAACACAGCAGGAGAGGTATCGGGGAGACGCAAGACTCAATGATTTGTTTCCTAGACTCAACGCTGGTGTACAATGCGCAGTGTGCTGCTGGTAAAGACCTCCGTGGGGCCTCTGAAGCAAACGGCTGCGGAGGTGGGAAAGCGTTGCTATAAACCCGTATCTCCCGCCTGTACCAAACTGTGCCCGCAACTATCTTGCCAAAAACGGAATTCAGACCGACCGGTTCGGGCGACTCGGGTTGGCCTGACAGGCTCGTCATGAAAATGACGAGACCCGGTCTGAAATTTGACGCGAGCTCCCGCTGCAAACATCCCATGGAAACTGGACCGTCAAAATCCACGACGCACTCGTGAAAAAGCGTCGGAAAACCCGAGTTCTGAAGCACTCGAGTCTTGTGTTTCCCCGAAGGCAAGGGGAGGCGACACCTGGGGGCCGGAACGAACCCGAAACCGTGAGAGGGAGGAGGCGCAGGCGACGGCAACGACCCGACGACCCAGGAGGAAGGACGACTCCCTGGGCGGCAGCCCGAGGCGCGAGCCACGGATGGGCAGAGGAGCGACGCACGGAGGCGGGACAGGCGGGGGAAAGGACTGCCCACTCGGCGGCGCAGACGGTGCTGTGCAGACCATCGGCGGCGAGCCCGGGGGGGAAGTGGAGGAGAAAACCCTCTCAGAAGGCGGCCGAGCTTCTCAAAGGCCTCCGGCCTTCTGAGGGGTTTCCTGTGTCTTCGGGGAAGGCGTAGAAAACTTCTCAGAAGGCCGCGGGAGCTACGAGCCTGCTGAGAAGGCCTGCCCCCTCTTACTTCCCCCCTGGGCTCGCCGCCGAGACCAGGCCACGCCCAAACTGCCGGGGGCGGCCGATCGTGCAGTAACAAGGCCGGCAACTCCATCCACGAGGGGCCGCGAGAAGAGTATGCTCCGCAGGCGAGCAGGGCGAGCGGCGACGAGGAGACGGCGGCAACCCGCGTCAGAACACGGCGTCGTGCAGGCGGGAGGACAACCGACCACGAGGCCGAGGCAGAACCGGGGAGGGCCGGCGCCGCCCAGGGCACACACGCACACACACACACACACATGCAAGCACACACACGCACACACACGCACACACACGCACACACATGCACACACACACACACGCACACGCACACACGCACGCAAACGCACACACACACACACGCACACACGAACACACACACACACACATGAACACACGCACACACGCACACACGCACACACGCACGGACGCACGGACGCACACACGCACACACGCACACACGCACACACACAGGCACACAGGCACACATGCACACACGCAGACACGCACACACGCACACACGCACACACACGCGCACACACGGACACACACACACACGCACGTACATTTACATATGTACACACATATACATGTGTATATATATATATATATACATATATATATACAGGCACGCAGGCACACACGCACACACACACAAACACACACAGACACGTGTACCGTACACACGCACACACAAAACACACACAACACACACACACACGCAGACACACGCAAACAAACACACACACACACACACACGCGCGCAAACACAGGCACAAACACACTCACTCACTCACTCACTCACTCACTCACACATACACACTGTTTGGGCGTCGCGGCCATGTGCGCGGCCGCGCGGCGCAGGTCAGGTCGAACGAACGCGCGGCCTGGCAAAGCTCACGCGTCGACAATAACACTCGCGGGGAAGCAGCCGCGAGGGGAGGGACTGGGGGAAAGAGGGAGAAACGAGGGCATGGAGACGCAGTGCTGCAGTGACGAGCCGAGGCAGCAGTCGAATCGCAGCGGGAAGGCGGCAACGGCAGCCAAACAAGAAACATAACCAAAGCAGCACTATACACACACGCACACCGATGCCCCCCCAAACAAGAAGCACACGCGAGACCGCCAGCAAGCGCCCAAGACACTCCCAAGAGGCCCGAAGCGGGCCCCCAAGAGGTCCAAACGAGGCCCCCGGAGGGTCCCCAAGAGGCCCCAAAGGCCTCACCCATGGACTTCATCTCTCTTCTGGGGGTCGGCGGAATGGCGTAAACCGCTTGAATCAATCTGCCCTCGGTCCTGTCCTGGCGCGCTCTCTGGCCACTGTCTCGAGACAGATCCAGCCGCGGCGCTACGAGGGCCCGCCGGGAGCCCCCCCACCCCCTCCAAAATAGAAGAGGGAGGGAGTAGAAAACCTACGGTAGATTCGCGTCGCGTCGACCTCCAACATTGGGTCCCGAAACCGCGTGGATCGTTCAACCTTGAACGATTGGCCGTTTCCGAAACTTCCGGTCCTTCAAGATCGACAGATTCTAGGTCGCCGGCAGCGTTCAACGTTGAACGTCGGCAGCGTGGTCGCCGCCCATCGACACGACGCGAACCTACCGCACAACTCAGCCTCGTCCTCCTCCCCCTCTTCTTCCCCCTGCATGCCTGGACACGCAGTCTCCGCGTGCACGTCGCATGGTTTGTGCTACAGGGGACGGCGCACACCTGTAAGCATTGCGCGCTGGTGACATGCTACGTACCTCGGCGGAGGGGCGTTTGGTCACCAAATGGAGGGGCGTCTCGATTGCTTGTCGTTCTGGCACGTTCACTAATTGTCCAAATGTTCAGGTCTTTCTACAATGATCAACATACATGAAATGAACTTTTGTCAACTTCATACCTCGCTAGTTCTTGCCTCCCCAGCGGAGGGGCGTTTGGTCACCAAACGCTTCCTTTCATCTCTCGGGACTTCCCCCCGCGCGCCTGGACACCTTCGTCTTTAAGAGTATCTTCACCAAATCGCCGGAGGCCATGATGAACTGACGGGGCGGCGCAGCTGTCGTCGGACAACCACGGGATCGCCCGACGCGCCCCCTCGGAGAGAAACCCCTCGCTGAGATGCTCGGGTGCCAGGGATGAGACTCTGGAGAAGCGCCCACGCGAACTACTGCGCGAGATCGTCTGCCAGGCCGAGCCACACGTCGCGGTTTCCTGGCCAGCTCCGTCAAGCCGCGACGGCTTCATTTGAGGGGAAGACGGAGAGAGGGGAAAGATCCAGGCGGCCGAAGTGAGGTCGGAGGATGGGATCGGTGAAATCGCGCCGCATCGCCAGTGCAAGGGCAATTTGGCTCCATGTGGAGCCAGATTCTTCCACGCCGATGCATCGGCGACGCGTCGCGACCCCCCGAACACACCTACTCTGATTCCGTTCAGGCCGCCTCCAGAAAGAGAACGAGATAGATGAGCGTGTCGCCTCTGCGGAACGATGCAATGAACAGAATACCCATCCCAAGTCGGAACCGCAAGAGTGATCCACACAAAACGCGCTGGACTTATCTAGCGGGACGAGGGCGAGAACCGAATGTTGCTCGGCCACTTCCAAATAGGGATTGGAGCAGACAGGACGAGGAGGGCGAGGGAGGGTGCGGGAGGACGAATATGACCAGGGATGGAGCGAGGGAGGGAGATAGGACAAGGAGGGAGAGAGGATCTATAAGTGGGGCAGCGATGTGCTGTACTGGGTGTGGGAGACGCATGCGAACGTCGCCTCCTGAGACTTCGGTGGAGCTCCAAGTGGGGCAGCGAAGTACTGTACTGGGAAGCGCGAGCGCATGCGAACGTCGCCTTTTGGACCTCGCTGGGGCTCCCTATGGGGCCACGAAGCGCTGTACTCGAAGGCGCAGACGCATGCGAACGTTGTCCCTCGACCCTCCAGTGGAACTCCCCATGTGGCCACAAACCGTTGTACTGGGTGGCGCGGACGCATGCGAACGCCCTGTGGGGTCGTCTTGGGGCCCTTTAGGGAGCCTCTGGGAACACAAAGGTAAGCAAACCGTCCTGGAGCGCTCTGGGGCCGACCCAGTGGCCACTGAGGCCATGCTGGAGCGACCTAGCGCCGTTTCGGAAACATCTGGGCTCGTCCTTGGGGTCTCTGATTCTGTTTGGCGGCCCTGTTGGGTCGTCTTTGGGCCCTTTTGGGCGCCTCTTGGGTCGTCCAGGGGCCCTCTCGGGCCCCAGTTGGAGCGGTTTGGAACGATCTTCTTGTCTTCTTGGACCTTCCTGGCCGCTGGAAAGAAACGCAAAACACATGTTTGACAAATGAATGCTTGCCCACTGGATGTTGACGATTGTTGCTTAATCGTGCCTTCGTGAAGATCCGCGTGGAGCTGTGCTGAGCCGTCTGGGAGGCCTCTTAGGCTGTCTTCAAGCACTTTTGGGAACTACTTGGCTTGTCCTGGGCCGTCCCGCCGAAACCACTTGAAATGCATTAAAACCGAAACCACGTGTGACCTGTGAAAGCGACCGCTTTGAAATCGAAATGCTTGTCTTGGAGCGGCCCGTGACCGCTTTGACATCGAAACCACTTGTGGTGTCCCAAACCCGGATAGCAGCGCAGTCAAAAGCGCAGGAAGATCGGGCAGAGACCCGGGGCGGCGCGCGGCGCACGCCTTCGGGATGAGGTCCACGTTCCAGTCGCGGTTCGCGCCCAGCTCCTCCCAGCGCGGGGCGGCAGGGGCGGCCGAGAGGTGCGCCCACGCGGGTCGTCGTCGTCGTCGTCGTCGTCGTCGTCGTCGTCGTCGTCGTCGTCGTCGTCGTACAGCCCGGGCTAGTGCTAAACAGTGTCTTTCAGTGTTCGTGTTACGTTCTGTCTTTGTTCCGCCTCTGCTACAAAGCGCATTCAGAACGAAAACGGTCCACGCCATCGCCCAATCCCCGTCTGGTTCGAGCCTTGGGAGGCGCTCCTGGTCATCTAGGACTGCGAGAAGAAAGCGAAACCTTGCGCGCAGTGCCGGAAGCAGGTTCCCCAGCCACGTGGGGCCTTCGCAGATTGGGCAAGCGGTTTTAGGGTCTCGGGATAGGGCAATGCTGACGGTCGGGGGAGACTCCACCATCGCTGGCCACCAAGGCCGGATGTCTGCCCAACCGCGTGCGGCTTGCGCTCCCCGCCATCCGTTCGAAGGGGGTGACGGGTCGGGGGTGCCTTCCTGCTTGGGCTGAAGGCACCTGGGCTCGGAACTCGGTTGCTTTGTCCTCTGTCCCTCTTCTCTTCTGCACGCTGTGATAAACGTCCGAAGCCTCCCCTGGCATCTTTCGGATGCTGTTCGAACTGCGCCTGGTTCAAGGTGCCCCCAGGATATCCAGGGCCTGGAGGGGGAAGGGGCGGCGAGGCGATGGAGCATCCAAGGTGGCCCCAAGAGGGCTTCCGAGAGACCAGAATGACCTCCAAGATGATCACCCAAGATGGTTTCCCACATGCTCAAAAAAACCTAGAACCAATCTCGGAGGGGCCCAGAAGGCCTCGGAAACTCCCCGATACGCCCCCTAGATTCCCAACGCCGTCAAACACCCACGGAAAATCAAGGATGTTGGCCGTCTCGCCCGTTCGCTTCCGATGACCTTCCGACGCCTCAAGAGCTCCAAGAGGGCCCCAAGACGGCTCAAAGGGCGCCCAAAAACGCCCCAGAGGGCGCCTCTCGCCTTAGGGCCACGTTCACCGGTCTTTTTCACATATATATATATATATATATATATATATATATATATATATATATATATATATATATATAATATATATATATATATGTATGTATATATATATATACACATACACACAAACGCAATCGCTGCACCGATGTAGGGTGGCCGGTTTGCAACATATAGTTCTCGCCTTAACAATGCGCATGCTCGTTTCCAGAGATGGCAGCACCCTCACGGATGGATGGCGGTCTGTTTTCAAAGTGTGGTTATTGCCCTCGGAGCCGCGCGCGTGCGTTTGGAACATGTACGCAAGAGTTTCGCGGGTGGAGGGAGGGCAACCCGTTTTCAAACGATGGCTTTCGCTTCAGCGCCGCACGCACTCGCCGTAGAAATTGCAAGACTTTCACAGATAAGAGGCGCCTTGTTTCCAAAGTGTGGGTATCGCCTGCTCGTCGCGCGCATTCGCCTCAAGGGTACGCAGCCGTTTGAACGATTCTCATGGTTAGCGTCCCATAAGTGTTGTATTTGGAATGATGTCAAAACGTCAGGGCGCTACAATCACGTTGGTTCGCGGTGAAGTCCCAGAACTTGCGATCTGGCACGTTTCTAGATCGTCAAAACACAGCAGCAACGGTGATTCGGAGCGTCGGTGGCCCACGAATTGCGTTATGGCACCATCTTGGGTTTTCAATCGATTGTTTTCCACCGGTGTACTTCCTCGGGTGAAAATGTAGCAGTGCACGGGCTGATTCAGGTGACGCTTGGAGGGGGGTTCAGTGCAATTTCGTTGACGAGTCTTGGGATGAATGTCGTTGCTCCTCTTCTTCTTCCTCCTCCTCCTCCCCCTCCTCCCTGCTCCTCTTCCTCCCTTCTCCCTTCCCCCCCTCCTCCCTGCTCCTCTTCAAATCGTCCTCTGTCCTCCCCCTCTTGGGGTATGACGGTTATTACATTGCATACTCCCCCACATCCCTGATCAGGGCAGTTGGCATGGAAATCGTTTCTGAACAGGCTGGTCGGGTTACTTTTTCCATCGCGAGCGAGGCAGGCAGCTGCGCGCCCTCAAGGTAGTCAGACGACAGGCCAACCTCGCAGGACAGGCGGAAAACAAGCCACAACGGCGGCGAGAACTATTGTCGGCTGGTCGGGTTACCTTTTTCCGTCGCGGCCGCAGGTGAGCGCGCCAGCAGCGTCAGAGGTCGGGCGGGCTACGCGCGAACCTAATTGCCTAGCGCATGGGGACCGACGGCCGAACCTAAGCTGCCGAAGCTGCCTAAGCTGCCGGGCTGCGCGTGGTGGTGCCAGGAAGCGGGGCAGGGCCGGAAACCTTGCCGACGGGCGACGCAAACTGCAACCAGGACCAGGATCCGGGGGCAGTGACGATGCACGAATTGAATCAAGGAGCTATACGCAGCCAAAATGGCGCGGCAAGGCCATAAACAGCGAAGCTGACAAGTGACCGCTGAGTGCAAGGACTTGACGTAGGATAAACCACACGACAGGCTGGTCGGGTTACGCGAAACGTAAAGAATCAATGTTTCCCCATATCCTAAGATGGGGTTATTGTTATTACTTGGACGCCTCCTACTCCTCCTCCTCCTCCTTACTCCTCCTCTTTTCTCCTCCCCTCCTGTCGGACATACTCAGACTTGCTCATACACAGACTTACTCAAACTCAGACTTACTCATACTCAGACCTACTCATACTCAGACTTACTCACACTCAGACATACTCATATACAGACTTACTCATACACAGACTTACTCATACACAGTATTAGTCATACCCAGACGTACACATACACAGACTTACTCATACACAGACTTACTCATACTCAGCACCCCTAAGGGGAGCCGCCAGGGGTGGTTGCACGGGCTCGTTCGCGGCCATTTTGTGGGGATGTCTCAGGCGGTTTGCCTGTTTCTGTGCCCAACATCCTTCGCTTTCGGAGCAGATTTGGAGGATGTCTCGAGCGAGGCGCTCATTTCAGCACCCCTAAGGGGAGCCGCCAGGGGTGGTTGCACGGGCTCGTTCGCGGCCATTTTGTGGGGATGTCTCAGGCGGTTTGCTTGTTTCTGTGCCCAACATCCTTCGCTTTCGGAGCAGATTTGGAGGATGTCTCGAGCGAGGCGCTCATTTCAGCACCCCTAAGGGGAGCCGCCAGGGGTGGTTGCACGGGCTCGTTCGCGGCCATTTTGTGGGGATGTCTCAGGCGGTTTGCCTGTTTCTGTGCCCAACATCCTTCGCTTTCGGAGCAGATTTGGAGGATGTCTCGAGCGAGGCGCTCATTTCAGCACCCCTAAGGGGAGCCGCCAGGGGTGGTTGCACGGGCTCGTTCGCGGCCATTTTGTGGGGATGTCTCAGGCGGTTTGCCTGTTTCTGTGCCCAACATCCTTCGCTTTCGGAGCAGATTTGGAGGATGTCTCGAGCGAGGCGCTCATTTCAGCACCCCTAAGGGGAGCCGCCAGGGGTGGTTGCACGGGCTCGTTCGCGGCCATTTTGTGGGGATGTCTCAGGCGGTTTGCTGTTTCTGTGCCCAACATCCTTCGCTTTCGGAGCAGATTTGGAGGATGTCTCGAGCGAGGCGCTCATTTTCACCCCCCAGGTGGGCCAGATTTTGAGGATGTCTCGATCGGTTTGCTAGTTTTGGTGGCCAGGCTCGTGGGCGCAGATTCTTCTCAGGATGCCACAGGAGGCTCCAACAGGCTCCAGGAGGCTCCAGGAGACCACATGAGGTCCCAGGAGGCATCAGGAGGCCACAGAAAGACTCAAGAGGCCACAGGATGTCCCAAGAGGCCCCAGGAGGCCCCAGGAAGCTCCAGAAGGCCTCAGGAAACCACAGGAGCCCCAGGAGGCAACAGGAAGCGCCAGGAGGCCTCGGAAGGCAACAGGAGGCCCCGAGAGGCCCCAGGAGCAGGAGGCCTCAGAAGGCAACAGGAGTGGCTCCAATCCCATGTGTTTTACGTATGCTCCTATCGATTGGGCCTCACCTGGAGCACGATTCTTTGATGTTCTACGTATGTTTCTATAGATGGTCCTTCTCCTGTGTACACAATCCTAAATGTTTTACTCATGTTCCTATGTATTGGGCCTCTCCTGGGGCACGAGTCCTTGGTGTTTTACGCGTGTTCCTATAGATTGCCCTTCTCCTGTGGCTCTAATCCGCAATGTTTTATGTACGTCTGTTGCTATAGATTGCGCCTCCCCTGGGGCACGAAACCTTCCTAGGAGGTCCCAGGAGGTCCCAAGAGGCTCCTGGAGACCCCAGGAAGCCCCAGTAGGTTTCAGGAGGCCCCAGGAGGCCCCAGGCTCATGCACAGAGACGCGCTCGTACTACTGAGGCTCATTCACACTCCAATTCATTCGCAATTAGATTGATGTCCAGACCGTCACAACTGAAGCCCGTTAATATTCGAAAGCTCTTGCGCCTAGACATTCATGGCGGACAGGTCCATGCGAGTAGATGCACATATGGGGAGCTCCACGCAGTGAATAATTCCATGCTCCTCCACACATTTTTTTACCTGCGCGGAGGAGCCCTGTGGCACAGAGGAGGGCACGAGGGGAGGGGGGAGGGAAGTGAAGGGAAGGGAGGGCGAAACCGCCCGCCCGCCGGGAGCCCGCTCAGCGCCGAGGCGGGCCCGCAGCACGCGGCCAGCGCGGGCCGCCGCGGGGGCGCCCCCGCCGCGGCCGCCAGCCGCCGGCCGCTGGCCTATGGCCTCCCACTGGCGCCGATGCCCCTGGACTTCTTCCGAGGACTCCGGGGCACTTCGCGCAAGGCCGCCGAGCTCCCAGAGACTGCACGTGGAGGCCACCAAGACGGCCCAAGAGGGCCCGGGGTAGCAGGCCCATCAGAGCTCCAAGACGCCCCCCAAGACAACCCCCCAGGGCCCACAGACAGCCCAAGAAGATGGCAAAGCCCAAGCCAGCACAAGGGGTCGGCGTGAGTGCGTAAGCCAAGTGAATCACGTCGTAGGAGGTCTCGGGGGGAACGGGTACACGGTGAGGCTGTGCAAC